AAAAAAAAAAAAAAAAAAAAAAACTATCTGGTCTGGGGCTTTGTTTTTTGTTTGGAGGTTTTTTATTGCTGTTGCAGTTTTATTACATGATATTGATCTGTTCATGTTTTCTATTTCTTCCTAAGAAAAAAGGCTCGGAGGTGTGTGTTTCTAAGAATTTGTCTATTTTTGTCCTTGATGTTTTCAAGTTTATGTGCACAGAGATTTTTGTAATATTCAGAGATGGTATTTTATATTTTTTTGTTACCAGTTGTGATATTTCCTTTTTTATTTGTGAGTGAGCTTATCTTTCCTGTTTCTGGTTAATCCATTGAGAGGCCTGTTAATTTTGTTCATCTTTTTTTTTTCTTGAGACAAAGTCTCATTTTGTCACCCTCGGTAAAGTGCTGTGGCATCATAGCTCACAGCAGGGGTCCTCAAACTTTTTAAATAGGGGGCCAGTTCACTGTGCCTTAGACCGTTGGAGGGCCGGACTGCTGGCCCTGGGACGAGTCAGTTACTAAGCAGGACAGGCAGCAGCAGCAAAAACACCCAGCGGGCCGCATGTGGCCCGCAAGCCATAGTTTGAGGACTCCTGGCTCACAGAAACCTGAGACTCTTGGGCTCAAGCAGTTCTCTTACCTCAACCTCCCAAGTAGCTGGGACTCTAGGTGCCTGCCACAGTACCCAGCTATTTTTAGAGACGAGGTCTCGCTCTGGTTCTGGCTGGTCTCTAACCTGTGAACTCAGGTAATCTGCTTGCCTCGGCCTCCCAGAGTGTTAGGATTACAGGCGTGAGCCACAATTTTGTTCAACTTTTTGTTTCATTAATCTTCTGTATAAATTTTTGCTTTTTTGAGACAGAGGCTCAAGCTGTCACCCTGGGTAGAGTGCCGTGGCATCATGCTCACAGCAACCTCCAACTCTTAGGCTCAAGCGATCCTCTTGCCGCAGTTTTTCTATTTTTAGTAGAGACAGGGTCTTGCTTTTGCTTAGGCTAGTTTTGAACTCCTGAGCTCAGGCAATCCACACTGGCCCTTTCTGTATAAATTTTTTATTACCAGTTTCATTTAGTTCTGCTCTGGCCTTAATTATTTTTTATTTATTTATTTAATTTTTTAAAAAATTGAGATAGAGTCTCACTTTGTGACCCTTGGTAGAGTGCTGTGGCATCATAGCTCGCAGCAACCTCCAACTCTTGGGCTCAAGTGATTCTCTTGCCTCAGCCTCCCAAGTAGTTGGGACTGCAGGCGCCTGCCATGACACCCGGCCTTTTATTTTGTAGAGACAGGGGTCTCACTCTGGCTCAGGCTGGTCTCAAACCTCTGAGCTCAGGGCAATCCATCCACCTCCACCTCCCAGAGTGCTAGGGCCCGGCCTAGCCTTAATTATTTTTTTCTTCTTTTGGGTTTGGGATTGGTTTGCTCTCTCTTTTTTAGTTCCTTGAAATTTTTCATTGGATTGTTGACTTGTGATCTTTGTCTTTTGGATATAGGCATTTATGCCAATAAATTTTCCTCTTATGACTGCTTTTGCTGAGACCCACAGGTTTTGATAACTTATGTGCCTTTGTCATTTATGTCAAAGAATCTTTTGATTCTTTTAACAGACAGTCTCACTTTATCACCCTCGGTAGACTGCTGTGGCATCACAGCTCACAGCAACCTCTACTCCTGGGCTTAGGCGATTCTCTTGCCTTAGCCTCTGAAGTAGCTGGGACTACAGGCGCCCACCACAACGCCTGGCTATCCCTTTGTTGCAGTTTGGCCAGGGCTTTGAATCCACCACCCTCTGTATATGGGGCCAGCGCCTTACCCACTCAGCCACAGGC